CACCTGGATTAAGAAATTGTCCCCATCCCTAACATCCTCCACCTTCTGATTTTTGGAAAAGCGGGAGTTTAATCAGATGCACCAGATCTGGGACATCCCAGAGATGCTTTCGGCCACTCTGCTAAAATCATCCACCTCAGCAGCCAAATTTAATCTGGATGCATCCGATACCGTCTACAGTGCTGGACATTTGCAGAGAAGAACAGGATGGTGTTGAACAAGGCAAACGTGATTATGTGGAACTAGGAGCCTAGGAAGAATTTGTGCTGATCTGGTAGTTTGTTTATATCATGTATTGCTCAGTTATTTATATTCTCCTTAAACGAGCAATGGGAATTCCACATTATATTTACTTTATTGATTAGCTTTTCAACCGTATCATCAGACAATAAATATTAACTTGACTGCTTCTGTTCCACAATTGCTGGCAGGGTTCAGATAACTTGCTTAATCCTAAGCCTGTGAGAAACAAATAGTGGTGCTTTATTCACTTAGCATGCTCTGCCCAACAAATAAACCAGATAACAGCTTAAAATTATAGCATGGTTCACACCACAAACCGAAATACAAACTGTTCAGCACCATTTAGCCAAGTCTTGTTTGTTGAGTCCAGCCAAACTGGCCGCTAGTCCTTCAATGTAAACCAGACTAAGAATCTAAAACCATGCAGGCTAAACTATGTTTTTATAAAACTACTAGCTCGATACCTATGCTTTCCTATGAAACTATGTGGTCAGGCTTAGTTTTGGGGGAGGAAAATAAAGGGGGGGGGGGCAAATTTTGCTTCTGTCTACCAGCATCCATCGGTGGTCATCTGGCTAGAGTTGAGGGCCGTTTGGAAACTGAAACAGTATTTACTGTGTGAGCAAGAAGGAAACAACAAGGAGCCTGGGCGTGGCTTAGTTCAACTATTCTGTACTAAAGCTGCTTGGTGGTCTGAAACTGAAACTCCTCTCCTCTGCTTGTGTTTTGCATTTGGAGCAGATTTCTTTTCAGGTGGGGAGGAGGAATATCACTCCTTAGCATCAGAGCGTGTTAATAATAATAAACACTCCTCCTCTCTCTCTCTCTCTCTCTCTCTCTCTCTCTCTCTCACACACACACACACACACACACACACACACACACACACACATTATCTTCATGAGAGTTAGATGTGGTCTTGTCTGAAATAGTAACAGCAATAGCATTTAGGCTTTACAGACACACTCTGGGAAGTTTACGATGTAGCAGCATTATTTGCATGTTGCCCCTAACAATCTGGGTCCTCATTTTACCAATCTCGGAAGGATAGAAGGATGAGTCAACCTTGAGCTGGTCAGAACTGAACTCCAGACTATGGGCAGAGTTTTCCTGCAATGCTACGCTTTAATACTGCATCACCAGGGCTCTTACATATTTTCTTGGGTTACAGTTCTGGCCCTAACTGAGCGATTTTTTAATCTGACTCTTTCCTTGGGAACTGCTGTTTCTTCAGTCCTTCAAGGCTTTTCCCTCTGTCCACTGGGTTGGCAAAGTGATGTTCGTAGCAAGACCTAATAGTACCAGATAGTTTGGGATCAATTATGCAAAAAAAACCACAAACCCTCTTGATCTTTTAAAATATTGATATGAATTATTCACAGGCCTGTGCATTCGCACATGAAAAAGCATGTCTTTCTATTTGTCCTGAACCCAAAATCAGCTATTTCTAATTGGGAAAGTAAACTGAAGTGTTAAAAGAGAGAAAAATTACATGTTCACACTATGTCATTCTTTACTTTATCACTTTCTGTAACTTCTGGGTGCAATTCAAGGGATTGCAAACACCTTTAGAGCCCTTCGGGGCATAAGTCCAGGTTACTTAAGGGAGCATCTCATCCCATTGGGATTGGCCCACCCTACCCATGCTGACAGAGGAGAGATACCATGAGCCCCCTTGGCCAAGGAATTCCAGGTGGTGAGGTCCAGAAGAGCTTTCTCTGCCATTGCACCTGCCTTTTGGAACAACTTGTCCCTGTGCGCACGCGCGCGCGTGCACACATACACACACACACACACACACACACACACACACACCAGTGAGGCCCATTCCACCTATCCAGTGAGGCCCATTCCACCTATCCTAAATGCCTGGCTCTACCAGTTGGTTTTGGCGCTCCAACGGAGGAGTTTCACATGCGGGGGTGGTGGTTGATGGATTAACAATATATTGACTATTAAAGCAGCCATGTCTATCTTCAGTTTCTCATTTTTCAGGAGCCTGGAAAAATGTGGCTGTTTTAAAGAGGTGCTGAAATGGAATACCGCTTTTGAATCATTCTGAACAGCCTGGTTTACTTTATTTCTTTATACATTCAGATTCGTGCTACTCCCTCTCGTTCTACTGTTCTCCCCTCCCCGCTCATCCTACTCCCTCCCCCCCCCATCTTTTAGTTGGAAAGTAGCATTTGAGTCTTTGTAGTATTTTATTTATGTCTTTTAGGTTTGGTATAGTTCATGCCGTCTTCAAGATTGTAAGCCACTCAGAGTTACCCAGTGGCAAGAAGGGCAGCCAATAAATTTTACAATAAATGAATAAAAAGTTCTTCCCCTATCTGATTTTTTTCATTCTAGCCAAACCCGAAGAGCTCTCCGCCATCCTTTAACAAAGAGATTGTATTCAGCCATTATTAAGCATTTAACTTTATATTACCATAAAAATGGACAACCACTTTAACAAATTGACTATTAAAGCAGCTATGTCTTTGTTTGGGTTCTCATTTTTCAGGACCTTGGGAAAAAAAGAAGATATATGGCTGTTTTAAAGAGGTGCTATAGTGGAATACCACTTTGGAATCATTCTGAACAGCCTGGTTTATTTTATTTCTTTATATATTCAGATTAATGCTGCTCCCTGCCACCTCTAAGCACTCAGCAACAATTATGCTACGACAGGGTGTAAGACTTGCAAATTACATTATGCATTTTTCACTGAACAGCTGCGAAGGAGCTGGAGTGAGCTCAGCCCATTTTAATTCTAACTTCTCAATTGCCCAACTCATGCAGTCTGGGGAGAAACGGGGTTGGGATAATGGATCATACAATGGCTGGCAATCTCCAGCAAAATGTTTGCTCGTTGTCACTCAGATCAGTTCATGATATACTGAACCTAGGAGTCACTTGAGTTGGAGGGCTATAGAAATGTAATAAATAAACCCGCAGAGTTTCAGAGGGGTCTCCAGAATCTAGCCAAAAAAATCAGGAGGGCCCCAAGAGTCTACCCACTTTTGTGTACAACACACACAAAAAGTTGAAGCAGAGCATCATCATTCAACTGCATCATCTCAACATTTTTGTGCTCAACTTAAAATTTGTCCTAACTGAGAGATTTTCTTTGCTCTGCTTTTCCTGAGGGGGCGGAGAGAGAGGAGGAGGAGAGAGAGAATATTATCTGGGATACTGATGATTACTATAAAGAATATTGGAAGGCATTGCTTTATATCATTTTTTTGTTCCTTTTTTCTCCAACTTGTTTTCTTTTCTTCAACTCTTTGCTTTCTTTCTTTTTATTTATTCTTCCTTTATATTGGCTTGCATTAGTTTTTATCTTTTTGTTTACAAGTTTTAAAGATGGATAGATGAAGGTAGGTAGGATAGATAGATAGATAGATAGATAGATAGATAGATAGATAGATAGATAGAGAAAAATAATGGATGGAGAGATGTATGAGATGATAAATGGATAGGAAGAGATGGATGGATGGATGGATGCCGGCTAAATATAACTTCACTTCATTATAACTGTTAGGAATGTAAGTCACCTAACAGTTATTTGAGTTGGAAATATATAAACTAGGATAGACATTTTAATACTATGTCTTCAAGAGAATGTTAAAACTGTAATTGGGTGTGGTTTCTCAAATAGCCATAAGATGGAGCCAGAAACCTGGGTTGTTTAGTCTCAGAAGAAAGTCTCAGTGAAGTGAATGAGTCTCTGTTTCCTTCTGTTGGAAAGAGTTGCCGTTCCTCCTAATGACTGTTACTGATCATTGATGTAAGTCTGTTACTGAACTGTTTTTTGATACTGG